AAAACCCTATAGCTCTGAAGTTGAATTTGAAGCATCAGAATGAGCTCTTGATGTATTTATCATTTCAAAATCCTTATTTCTTAGCTCTGCCACTCAAAAGGCCTGGAAACAATGATCAACCCAAGAGCAGTGAGCACACCACTGTGTCTCTGGCTCCTAAACACCATTTCCCACTCAAAGGAATAAGGGCTCCTTGTAGAAATGGCTGACGTTGGGTCTGGGGCAGGAAATGTGTAACATGAGGCTGAAACAAGGAAGTCCATTAAGGCTGGGTCACAAAGTTTTAGTTTGACTTGAATAGGTTCATGATGGAACATGTTTATTATGTGAGTGTTCCAATCCATGAGTTCATAAGGACAATTTAAAAAAAATAAGTCGGGGCGCCTGGGTGGCGCAGTCGGTTAAGCGTCCGACTTCAGCCAGGTCACGATCTCGCGGTCCGTGAGTTCGAGCCCCGCGTCGGGCTCTGGGCTGATGGCTCAGAGCCTGGAGCCTGGAGCCTGTTTCCGATTCTGTGTCTCCCTCTCTCTCTGCCCCTCCCCCGTTCATGCTCTGTCTCTCTCTGTCCCAAAAATAAAAATAAAAACATTGAAAAAAAAAATTAAAAAAAAATAAAAATAAAAAAAATAAGACACAGTGGAGACCTTTGGAAGATTCTAGGGAGTCCAACTCAGTGCTTTGGAAAATCCAGCATTTATCCTGCCTTCCCTAAGCAGACTATGCCAGGGTATGCAAATAGTAGATGAAAGGAATTATGTTTTTATAGAAGTATTCTAAATACTGGATAAAAGGAATGCTAGAATTTTAAATATACCATTTTAAGTTTATTTTTATTTATTTTGAGAGAGAGAGAGACACAGCAGGTGAGAGAGGGGCAGAGAGAGATAAATAAAATAAATAAAAGAGGAGAATTTCAGGCAGGCTCAGCTGTATCAGTGCAGAGCCCGAAGTGGGGCTTGAACTCACGAATGGTGAGATCATGACCTGAGCCAAAATCAAGAGTCAGACACTTAACTGGCTAAGCCGCCCAGGCGCCCCTAAATCTACCATTTTATAGTCACTGATGAATTAATGGATCTAGGACTAGGCAATGATTATTAATGACTTTTAATATCACAGTGAGAGAAACAGACATTATGTTCCATTCTGTGGACATACACACATTACCACGTTTAAAGTGGTCAGGCCAAAAATTCAAACATGAGGCTCATCAAACTTCTAAATTGGGGGGTGGGAAACTTTTCCAGCAGGGTAGATAATAGACATTAGGCTTGTGGGCCACATGGTCTCTGTTGATCCTACTCAACTCCGCCATTGTAGCTCGAAAGCAGCCACAGACCACATGTACACAGAGGGGCATACTGTGTTGCACTGAAGCTTTATTTACAGAAACAGGCCATGGTTTGCTAATCCCTGCCATAGAATCTACATCTAACTTCCAGTGTACAGGAAATACAGGGAACAAAGGAATATATTACATGACACCGTAAGAAGGCAATCTAAAACTTCAGACTGAAGGAAACAGTTCAGGCAGGACAAAGTGCCTAGTTTCTTCAACAACAACAACAACAACAACAACAACAACAACAACAAAACAGAACAAAAAAAAAGCAAGAGATAAAAAGAATAGGGAAGGAAACTCAGATCTTACAGGAGACATAAAAGTTGTATCAGTCAAAATATTTGGGTTTTAATAAATACCAGTTCCAATAAACTTTGAAAAAAAAAGATAATCATGGAAATAAATGATGCCATTAAGGAATGACAGTGGTGCCTTGTGGTGGTTTTTGAAAGAGTTTATATGTTTAGACATACATATTGAAACATGATGGGAGCACCTGGGTGGCTCAGTTGGTTGAGTGGCTGGCTTTGGCTCAGATCATTATCTCATGGTTTGTGAGTTCTAGCCTCACATCAGGCTCACTGCTGTCAGAGTGGAGCCTGCTTCGGGTCCTCTGTTCCCCTCTCTAGTCCCCTCCCCGGCCTGTGCTCTCTCTCTTAAAAAAAAAAAAAAAAAAAAAAAAAAAGAAAAAGAAATATGATATGTCTGCAACTTACTTCCAAGTAATGGTAGGGCTGTGGGTAAAACTGACTATGAGTTGGCTCTTCTGAAGGTCAGGTCAGGGCTGCATGGGGCTCCTGGGACTGGTCTTTTGCATGTTTGAAGTTTTCCGTAATTAAAAGTTGAAACCAACACAAAACATAACTCAGGTTCAGCAACAGAGATGAAAAAAATGTATGTATAGATGAAGAAAAATAGCTTTAGTTTGCCGGACAAGAGCCTCTGGAACAATTAAGTAGAATCGGGCTCATGGGATTTCCTGTTTGTCCCATAGAATTAGAATCAAAGACAAGCTGGAGTGGATCAGATCCACTCTGAGGTTTCTGAGTGACCCATCCCCTCCCGCCCCTCTCGGAGGGAAGGAGGTCCCAGGGCACCAGGGCTTGGGGCTGACGGCCCAGGGTGCTGCTAGCTGCTCACCCAACAAGTGTATGCTCTTCCTGGCATCAGCAACTTGATTTCTTCAGAGCTGCTAGTGCGCCTTTAAAAATACTCAGCAGGGGCGCCTGGGTGGCTCAGTCGGTTGAGCGGCCGACTTCGGCTCAGGTCATGATCTCGCGGTCTGTGAGTTCAAGCCCCGCGTCGGGCTCTGTGCTGACAGCTCAGAGCCTGGAGCCTGTTTCAGATTCTGTGTCTCCCTCTCTCTGACCCTCCCCCGTTCATGCTCTGTCTCTCTCTGTCTCAAAAATCAACGTTAAAAAGAAAAATTTTAAAAACACTCAGCCCCTCAGAGCCTCTGGCAGCAGAGCTGGCCAGGTGAACAGCAAGTCTAATGGTCACGGCTTCCAAAAATATTATATCTTCTGAACTGAAAGGGATCTACTCAGCAGGTGTGGATATCCTAGCTTAACCTAGGTATACTTACAGTGCCCGAAGTAGTAGGGGCAGCCTTGTGACCATAAAGAATAAGGTGATACGCCATGACGGGAGGGGTGGAGGTGACGGTGCAGAGACAGAGAGAGAATGAATGAACCTGGCACGTCACGGAGTCTGCCACAGGCTTATCTACCTGAACTTTGTGCTACACAAGAAAACTTAATCCTGCATGGTTAATCCACTGCGGTAAGGCTTCTGTGACATGTCACCAAACACAGTCACTGATTTAACCGTTACCCCAACCCCCAAGTATCCAAAATTAAACTTCCTGGTCTCCTCTGAACTCCCTTCTCAGTCTTCCTCCACTTCATAAATAGCAACTTTGGTCTTTAAGGCATTCAGATCCAAACTCCTGTCGCTTTTTCCCTTCTCACTCCATTTTCATCCATCAGCCATGCCTGTTGGGTCTCCAGTCTCACCTCCAGCTCCACTGCCGTCACCCTGGTGTGAGCCACGGTACCTCTCAGGTAGCCTGTTTCGGGAGCCTCCTGACTGGTGTCCTGCTTCAGTCCTGCCTCCTACAGCCTATTCTCCATCAATCAGAAGGCCCCTTTTGAAATGCAGGTACTTCCTGTCAGTCCTCTGACCCAAATTCTCTCACTTCCAGTAAGACCCAGAGCGCTGCCAAGGACTACCTCACATCCTTTTACACCAGCCCTCATTCACCCAGCTCTGGTCATACCAGCTTCCTCAGTGTTCCTGCAACAAATCAGGCAGGCTTCTGCTTCGGGCTTTCACCTTTGCTCCCCCCTCTGCCTGAGTTCTCTTTTCTTTTTAAAAGTGTATTTCTTTATTTTGAGAGAGAGAGAGAGAGAGAAAGGGAGCACATGCAGGTTAGGGAGGGGCAGAGAGAGAAGGAGAGAGGGAATCCCAAGCAGGCTCCACGCTATCAGCACAGCCCGATGTGGGCCTTGATCCCACGAACCATGAGATCTTAACCTGAGCCAAAATCAAGAGTAGGACACTCAACTGACTGAGCCACCCAGGCGCCCCCTCAGTTCTCTTTTCACGGATGTCCATATGGCTCATTCCTGAAATTCTTTCAGATCTCTTAGCTGTCACCTGACCAGACCAGAGAAGCCTTCCAAGGTGGCCGTTTTCTTGTTTGCACTCCTATCCACTCCCCACGCTCCTCTGTCATGCTCTCCATTTTAGGGAATTGTGTTTCCCTGGCTTCCTTGCCCTTGGGCTTCTGGTGGGTACGCCCATGGGAGGCAGAGGCAGAAAGAAGACTGAAGGCAGGCAGGCAACAAGAAGGAGACGAGGTCTGTGTCTCTCTCTTCAGGCTGTGTCTCTGGCACTCACGGTGTCTACTCTGAGATGCCAGGTCTCACAGACACCCCTCCATCTGGGGTCCCAGCTCCTGCTACACAGGCTCCTACCAGGTGACTCAGAACCTGGGCTCCAGTGACAAGGCCACCTCCCTCTGTTGGTCATGCTGTCACTAAGCCCTGCATTACTGTGCTGTCTCTTGTGTGGCTTTCCAGTTCCTCCCTCACCTGCATAGTCAAGTTCTTATATTAAGTCCTTCTGTTTCAAACACCAATTAGTCCTGACGGGGCCTGACCGATAAGCCTTCCCTGATGACCCTCAGTGCCCTCCACTCCCCTCCCTGTCACTGTCCACTTATCCTGAATTACTTTCCCTGTAGCTCTTATCAACACCTGCTAGAGTTTATATTTATTTGTTTTCTTAATTGCCTAACTCTCCACCGGCATATAAATGAGCAGGTAGTAGGACTTGGTGTGCTGTATGGGGCTGGCAGTGGACTGAGCTCACACAAATAAACCAGTGTTCTTTGATTTGTTTAAGAGATCTTGATAAGCACTCTCCCCATCCTGGGCACTAGACACGGGAGACGGAGAGATGAATAAAGCAAACACTTCTATCTGGACACAGAACAGGGTGGCGGTGAGAACCCAGCCTCCCTCCCTGTGTTTGCCTTGTGGTGCTTCCAAAACAGAGTGGAGAATCACGTGTGTGAAAATGGAAGCTCATCCAAGAGGGAGATCAAATCTATTGTTACCATGCGTCCGACTCCCCGTAGGGAAACACCACTCACCTGACATGGAGTGGGATCTTGGGTACCTTCTTAGAGACCTTGAACCGTCCTCTGTCCCCATAGATGTCGGTGAAGTACACTCCAGCCACACTTGTCACCTGGTTCCCGGGGAACCTGGACAGCACATTGTCACGACCATGCTGACTGGCCCAATACCAGGCTTGGCCCCCGATGAGCAAGCCGCCTCCACGTTTCACATACTGGATCAGCTCTGCAGTCATCTTATCATGGTAGGCACTGATGCAGTAAACCCCCAAGGGGGCCCCCAGTTCCGGCTGAATCTGTGCCTGAACCCCACAGCCCTGCAGGATACTTACTAGTGATCCCAGGGATGGGTGCACTCCAGTGGGAGCCCCCGGTGAGGGACAGAGCCAACTCACTGCATTAAGAAGAAATGGAACCAAGCCAGCATCCAGCAGGTAGCCTTCATGGGACACCACCACCAGGCGGCCTCGGCCGTAGAAGGAGGCAGCAATGAGGACCTGGCCCTTGTCATTCACCATCACCGGGAAGGCGGCCTCCCCAATAAGAAGAAGTTCACTAGGGATGGGGTCTTTGGGGACATTCCAGCTTGTCACTCCATCCATGAGGGCCTCGAAAGCACTGGCAGGAGTTGTCGCCATGGTTCAACCAGCTGCTGCAGAGGAGATGAAAGGCTGCGCTTGGTCAGAACTGATGAAGCTTCAAGTGAAAACACAACTAAACGCATTCAAACTAAACCATTCACTGGGTTCCCCACTGTGTGCCAACCACTAGGGGGCCCAGCAAGGTACACGCGGACAAGGCCCTCACTTTCATGAATCTGATATTTCAGCAGGGGAAGGACAATAAATAAATCGGTAGACAAACATAAACACAGCAATTCCTAACCATTAAGATGAAAATAAGAAAGTGATGTGATATCAAGTAACTGGAGAGTCCGTTGAGATTGTGTGACAGGAAAGGCCTAGATGAGGAAGTGACCTTCAAGGTGTAACCTGACGTTTCAGCTGAGACGTGGCATGTGTAGGAGCCCAAAGTAGCCCTGGGCAGGGCAGAACACGACCTGAGTGGCTGAGGGGGGTGGGGCTGGGTCCTGCACAGCCTGGTACAAGGTGACAGCCATGTGTGTGAGCTGACTTAGTATTGTGCTGCATCTCTATGGACAAAACGGTCAAGTGACCTTTCAGAAAACTGCATTTTGGGGGACAGTTTTGACTAAATGAATTGAAATGCCTCCCAACTTATCACGGCTGCCCTAACTAGGAGTTCCCTACCTCTGTGTGGGTAGCTTTCTTTTTCCAGGGGTCTTTTAAAATTCATTGTGCCTGGGGAGCCTGGGTGGCTCAGTCTGTGAAGCGTCAGACTTAGGCTCAGGTCATGATCTCGCGGTTCAAGGGTTCAAGCCGTCTTTTGGGCTCTGTGCTGACAACTTGGAGCCTGGAGCCTGCTTCAGTTTCTGTGTCTCCCTTTCTCTCTCCCCTCCCCTGCTTATGCATTCTCTCTCTCTCTCTCAAATATAAATAACATTTTTAAAAAGTCAGTGTGCCTAAAATTCAGCTATTTTTTCCCTTAAAGCAGCTTCTCTTGGATAAATTACTTAAGCCTCAGTTTCCCCACTTATAAAAAGGATAATACATCCCTTGGAGGATCGTTTTTGGAGATTAAGAGAATGCACATGAAAACACCTTGTTCTGGGTACACAGTGAGTGCTGAGAAAACATGAGGGTCTGTCCCTATGCTGACCTTTCTAACTTCCCCAAATGACAAGGGCCATGTTCTGGGTGCCTGTCTGCTCCCCTCGGCCTACCCCTGACTTCAGCAACTGCCATGGAGGAACTTCCTGGGCACTCGAACGCCTCC